AAAAAATTGTAAAAGTTATTGTTATAACTATGTGTTGGAAAAAGAATTTCCGAGGGTTCCACAATTTAAAAAGGTTTAATATGCAATAGTTGTAAATGAATTTGGCCACCCAGAAAAGTTACCTTCATCGATCCTGCACCTTTTATCTCCCAATTTTTTTTTCTCTGGGTGTTAGAAATAAGATAAAATAGTAATTTTATTATGGAATAAAGCATTTCTGAAGTGTTGAATTACACATAAAGTAATCTTGTCAGAGTTGGTTGTGTGTTCTCTTTGATAGCCCTATGGTCCAGTTACTTTGTAATAAATCTAATGAATTGTCAAGTCAAAAAAACCATTGCCTAAAAAGATTGTGTCCCCAGGGCCGAAATGCCTGTGGGGTGTAGTGTTCTCAGAGGATTTAGATGCTAAGATAACAAGTGTTTACATATTGTTTTATTGATTATAAAACATGTCTGGGGAGACACTATTACTCAATCCCACCCAGTTCTAAGATTTGCACGGTGTGCTCTCCTGGTAACTTATCTGTCCATATCAGGTGAAATGCACGATTGTACGCCAGGCAAAAGCAGTTCTTGTTATGTAGACAAGTGTCAGCTTTTGATCTTCTTTAACTTAGCTTTGTGCACATCAGGGGATCTGTGCAATTGATGTGATGTAAATTTCATGTGGCACAAAGTAAAATGTGAATGCAATTTGGAATCTTTGCAAATTTAGTATTATTTAAATGGAGACAAGTGGATAATCTGGATATATATGTCTGCGATTTGGGGCTATTAAGATGCATACAGAGATTTTCCGTTCCACTTTTACCTTGAAACTCAGCAAGCCAAAATACAAAGTTGACTTGGGTAAGTATTGAATTAATTTTGTTAAGAGTTACCTCTCTTTGTGATGTACCATAAAACTATAACATATACATTGCTTATTATAGGTGCATTATGGTAATTGCTAATGTGGCATTCCATAGTTGCAGACATTCAAATGTAGATCACATTGTCATTAATATGCATTTGGAGCAACTTCTTTAGAATAAGCCTCTCTTTCTAAAGACCATGATTAAACATTCCATGGACAAGTTTAAAAAGTTGTGTCCAGTTTTCATAACCTTTGTGTGTGGTGGAGATGTCTCTGTCATTATTTACAGAATCATGTAAAAACACACAGTGAATGCTACCCTAGCTTTGTACAATAGCTCTTCAGTCAGATTAAATAAGTAGAAAAACATCAAAATCTAATAAACTGTTGTAACTAGCTCTTCCATCGTATGTTTGGTTTACTATAACCACATATTATTTCACTTGTATAATGAATAAAGATCCTTTCAGATGTTCATAATGAACTGCATGGCTAATCATCTATGGTCCTACATTTGGCAATAAATAAATGTTTTGATGAAACTGTGACATAATTTTCCCAAATACTTGTAACAGACAGCCTACTTCTCAATGTCTTAAGATGAAAATTATTACATTATTTGATTAATAGTCCATTTTTAAACTTTAGAATCTTTTTTGTAATTTCTGGGGTGTTTGCGTTCACCTTTTTGTTAACAGGTCAATTCAATAAAACAGGTGTTAGATTTTTATGTTTAATTTGAGGACATTGGAATGCCAAAGTACCTCATGAATATTTACACATATTTTATTTTCTAGGTTTCAAGAAAGCATTTTGAAAAATAAAGATTTGTGTTCACACTTATAGTTGGCCTTATAACAATGTTGGTTGATTGAGGTGATTATTTTACTGTGAAAAAATTTGGTTATTTTCTTTCATTTTGGCTATTTAAGCACAAAAATTGGGTCAGTGGACTTATGTGACATACAATTGTTTTGTTTGATTATTTTACCTGGAAGGAATGAAAAATGTAAATTGATTATCGACTTGCATTTATTTAAAATATGTTGTCTTCATTGAGTGCAAAGGGTTTTATTCAAAGAAATGACTTAAGTTCTTATGTGTATAAAAGCCAGCGCTGAGAGGGCCATGGACAAAATCTAATAAGGAGATATTTTCATAAGCATATAAATAAATGGTTTTTAAATTGCCAGCTTTTGTGGACATAGGATCAAAGACTTTAGTAAATCTAGCAGTTTTCTTGCACCACTCTCCAAGTGTACGAAGACAAAAGAACTCTGAGAACTGCAGGGAAATCTTCAGACAATTGGAACTTTATCTTGTTACAACATTGTAATTCCCATCAAGTGGAAGGATAAAGGGATAAATTGATTTACAACTTTAAACCCAATTTTCTGTAACAATTTTTGTGTACCTTTGTTTTACAAGTATGTAAAACTTGCTGGAAGTTTTCCTGACTCCTGGATATGATACCATAATTGTCTAGAAATTTTTTGACCCTGGATTTTATAGACTTTGGTGGCTTTGGAAATCATTGCATGCAAAGGTTGTTGGCTCATTAATCATTGGCTGATTACATTGTCAATTAAAAGTCCACAAATGTCACTGAAACCTGGACCTTGTGGTAGCGCCTAGTGAATATAAGGGAGGTTTTGGTGGTGTTTGGGCAGAGCTCTGTGGATTAACAGTCAGTCTGTAAAAGGATAAACAGATATTATTGTACAGAGCAAGAAGAATTCATCAAACTGTGAAATATTCTGATGTTTTATTATATCAGCCTGGATCCTTCAGTTCTTTTGACCAGATTTTTACTGAAGTAGATGTTAATTAAGAGATAAATAAGCTGTGGAAATTAGTCTGTGCTGTTTATTTTTTGTTTAAAGAGTTCTATCTTGGATCTTGTTGGAAACAGATGGAGGATATAAGAAATAAGTTCTTTTATACTGAGGGAATGATTCTGTTGTTCCAATTTGAGAAACACAGATCTAATATTCTGTCTACCTGCCAAACACCTTTCCTTGATGTAATAATTGTGTAGCTTACATATTTTCTGTGATCACGAGGAAATTGCAGACTGTCGTTATTTTGGACAGACAAATTGTGTGGTCAGCCTTGTTCCCCGGGGAAGTGCCATGTTAATGTTGCTTTTTTGCTTCATGACATGTCTGAGCAGAAAAAGATGTATTGCAATGATGGGACACTCATGACAGGTTGCTCTAATGAGAAGACAACAGAGAAATACTTGTGGTGGATTAATCTATTAGTCTGTCTGTGATTATCACTGTAGATAAATAGATCAATTGATAATCTGATCATTCTCTCTGTCAAAAAATTAGTTCTGGTTTGTGGTGTTTACAACAGGAGTTGTGCCTTCTAATATCTTGGGATCTTTAAGCTCCTGAAATGTGTTAAAATAGATAAAAGAGCAGATAGAAAGACAACTGTATAATCACTTATTAAATGCAGCAGACATTGGATTGTTTAAGTAAGGAATCAAGTGCTAGGGACTTGTTGATATTAAGGCTACTTGAAGTGACCAAGGTGCTTGCTTGATTGACCAGCTCCAGGCATTCGGAAGTGATCCGTGGAATAATCATTTTCCATTTATTTATACCTGCATCAAGCTGATGGGCCTAGAATGAGATTTCAGAGTATATTATTTTACATGTGTGTTTCTGTAATAAAGGCTGGATAGTTAAAAAAAGCAACATTTTATACTTTGGGTGTTGGTATTCTGTAACTCAAAGCCATTGTGCAAATGGACACCGTGATACATATCTAAAGTAGCCTGCCCTTGAAAAATGTAAAACTTAAAGTAGATTTCAAATGTGAATTGGGATTTGAGGAGAAAACAGATTGATTTAAAATGGAGATGCGAGCTATATTGGATTGTGTTTATGGGTGGCTTTACTGGATATTTACTTTGTTTGGTTATTTTGGTAAGTTCACGTTCATGATATATCATGTCCAAATATTAATACATGAAGCAATGATTGATATTGAATATTATTAGAAATTATATATAATTAAAAGTTATCACACATATTAGAGAAATATTTAAGTGCACAAATTCAAATTTTAATTACCGGGTAGTATCAATATTATATTGTCTTATTATAAGATTTGCTCTAGCTGCTTTGAGGTAGGTATTTGAATCTGTACCTTTATTGTCCAAGATGCATAATGTTTTAATCAATTACGTTGGACAATGCATAAATGTAACAATTGTTAACTCTGTTTGTGCAGAGGTAAGATTATTGTTTTAATCTGAATTAAGGAAGGCAGACTCACACCATGAAATTTTATTAAGTAACATTTTCATTAATATTGTGTCTATCCTACTTCCAGGATGTAATATACTGGGTCAGGAAGATTTCTTCTAACTTTTGTATCATTGTTTGAAAATAGCATAAAGTTCATCTTTGTAATAAGATATATATAAATAAAATATATCCTTACAGGATGATTTCATTGAAATATGAGACTCTTTTGAAACTCAAGCAGCGAAAAGTCCTGAACCAAAAAAATTAGTTTTCAATGGATGAAAAATTGACTTTAGTCTCAGATTGCAAACTGTTGTGTGAAAAGAAATAATAGATACAAAACTGGTGCCCTAACTAAAGAATAGCCTCCCTCAAGACTGTATCACACCTGACAAAGAATAAGCCACAGAACTTCTATTGAAGCCTCCCTGATGATTGTGTTGACAAATGTTTATTTCACCTCGACCTTCGGCTGTTAGTATTGATTGGTGTATTTTAAAAGCTCAGGAATCGGCATTCTGTGCCAATAAGGTTCAGGTATTAATTCTGTGTTATATTCTCTACATTCACAAATTGATTACAAATTTTCAGTTGAATGACGAAAGGTTGTGAAGGATTACTGAAAATTTGGATGTCTGAATTCTCTAGGTGGGAGATAATGCTTTCACCTGTCGTTTTCTGTCTGAAACCACATGATATAAAGAAGATTCATACATTATTTATTGGAAGTGGAAGATTAATCCGGAAATACGTTATTTATATACAATAAGATTTTTTACGGGCTTTACAGGTTGAACAGGTTTGTATGAAGAGATTTGATATATAGTTATGTGGGTCAATTTTCACCTGAACATTATTGTCATTTCTCCTGTCTTTCAGATGTTGGACGAAGGGGTCTTGAAAAACACACAAGTGAGTCAGTTGTAAGGACACAAGAAACGTCTGCTTCACCTGTAAGTCGATTATTTGTCGTTAAATCTTTAATGTGCTAGTGCACTAAACATTCGCAATGTTTATTATGCTTTTATTTACTTGGAAAGAAATTTATGTGTCTGTTTTCTTTGGATGAAAGGGACTTTCACTAGTGCGATGTCCCACCTTAAACTTTTGACTCATTTCTTGTCATATTTTATAAATCAGTGAAACTCCCACACGAAGCTGGTATTTTTTCAGCATATGTTAAAGTGTAAATATAGCTGACGCATGTTGAATTTAGACATTAGATGAAAAATTATTCTTGTGAAGTGCAGATCGTGTGGATTGGATTTCATTTTGACTTGTTTAATTGCCATGCTCTAATGCATGATATGTATTTTATCTGTATGAATATCAATAATATTTTTCAATATGCATTCCAAGGTAAATTTCTGGTTGATTTTAAAATGTTATGTAAATATTTGCTTTTGAGAAATTTTTCTTGGCTAAAAGGTCCTTTAGCTTTAAAAAAAAAAAAGATATTGAACTTTAACATTTCTAGGTCACATGACAAGGGATCAGTGTTTTGTTAACCAAAGGTCTTTAACTATTTACATAGAAAAGTTTAAGAAAATGAGAAATTGGAAGCATATGGAGTGTAATAAGTGTCTTGATATATATTTGTCACCATTTTGTTGCACTTTTATTCAGTGTGCATTTTGAATGCTGATTTTTTTAGTTTTTCGTATTTTTTGCATTTTTCCCATAGGATGTCACAACTAATCACATTCCTAAGCACAATCTTACTAACAATTTTGTGAGATCACGTCACCATGACAACGGGACTGAGCACCATGTTTCACAGTCAGGCAGATCTTCTGTGTTAGACTCCATCTTACCGTCCAAATTCTCTATACCATCCAAGGTAAGAATTTCAGGTTTTACAAATTCCTTTAGCTTTGTCAACCAGTTGAGAGGTTATTAGGGGTATTCCATCAAGTTATTTTGTGAGGTAGAATGGAGAGGTAGATGACAAAATTATTTTGTTTAATTTCTCAAAATATAAGTTTCATTGGTATTAGATAATGTTATACCTGCCAAATGCTAACCGGTAATAAGTAATAAACATATCATTTAAATCCTTACCTGTTCAAGAGCGTATCTTGATTATTTTCTTAATTAATAATACATGTACAATTTTTTTCATAATGGTGTAATAATTTTTTATGACAGTATTTTAATTTGCATTTGAATGGCTCACAATGCATAAGATACTCATTTGTACTATAAATGGTTGAAAAAGTCCAAACATTATGATCTCAAGCCTACAAGAACCCGATTTTATCAGAATTGGTCATGAATGAAGTTCCTTGTCTTTTTCATGTAATTGATTAGGAAAGGCACCTAATTGACACCTAGGTTATTTAAATAGAATGTTTCCTAGTAAATACAGTCATTCATCTGAAATATACTCCCAGGTCTTTTAAACAATACAGCCCAATCCTGTTTTGGATTGAGTAATCTAGCTCACATCTTAAAGTAGACAACCTTTGAGAGGACATTGATTTGGTGAACAACACAATGACAGAATTTTACTGAGTGGCATGTCACCAAGTTATTCAGGTGTTGATCTCAAGATTGTGAATCCCATTTGCATGGATATGTTGATTTGTAATTAGTTATCCTGGAGATTGCATTAGAAAGCAGTGACTCATTCCATTAGAGACACGTACAAGATGCATGTGGACTAGCTTAGTCTCATTCTGAAAACAGATGCTGGATAAAATATTGATATGTAAGGGTTCAAAGTCAGTCAATAAAGATAGGGTAGGTTCCCAGTGATTTATCTTGTAGGAAAATAATGATGGAGACAGTTAATAATTAAAATTCTGTTTGATAATAATTTAACTCCTTGTGTGTTCCTTGATTTTTAATGCACAAAATTTCTCTGTTTTTTGAAATTTGAATCTTTCTGCACTGATAGACTGATATGTCTAACACAGACTGAATGTATTAATAGCATGGTTTGCATGTCACTTAACCAATGGCATTGGCATTTCAGGTCTCATCAGTCATCAACAGATTTTCGGGGGAGTTTGGAGACAAGAAGGCAGACCCCAAAACAGCTAAGAAACAAGAGGAGACAGCACATAGGCATATTCCTATAGTTAGGAGAAAAAATGATTTTTCCTCTCTGTTACAGAAATTTTCAGGTTCTAATGGAGAATCAGGAGATGTATCGCCTAGAAGGAAAGTAAATCTCCATCGTCAGGAAGCTTGTGCCATCGGCAGCAGTGACGAATCAGACAGTCGCAGAACCCCCGAAAGGACTCAAAGTTTACGTGTGAAAAAGTCCCCATCTCCTGATGAGAAAAAAGGGGTACAGAGATCTGAGAGTTTCAAGTCGGATTTTATGCGCAAACGATACAGTCCTGAAACAGTGATAAATACTCCGTTGGAAGAGGATTCAGAAAACATGGCAACCCCTAATCCAGAGCTTGCAGCCATTTTGAACAGACGCCACAAAGTGGTCACTGATCAACAAATCAAAGGACAAGAGTTAGAAAGGGAACAAATTTATAGCAAAAAAATTGAAAAAGAAGATCAAACTCACAAACCAGCAGAAGTGGATGAAGTTATATGTGATGAGCAAGTTGCTTCTAAGTTGAAAACGAGGCTAAATGAAACTGATTCTTCTAACTTAAGGGAAGGAAATAACATTGATGATCGTTTTAAACCCTACCAAAAGTCAGATGACATCATCACAGATTCTGAAGTAGCAAGTATATTAAAAGCCAGGAAAAAAGAAACTGACTCCAAAGTAGCCAAAGGTAATGAGATAGTAACCAAAGAGTATGACCAAAGCTCACAACAAACGCCAAAGGTTGTAAGTAATGATAAAGTAAACAAACAAGAACAATCATCTCTGGCACCCCCACAGAAAACGGAGGGCAGTCAAGCCAAAGTGACTTCATCAGTGTCTGAGGTTACCACTAGTGTTAGCCAATTAGTGACCAGTACAAAAGCTCAGTCACCAGAACATACACACAGTACCGACAGTGAAAAGTTAGCCAAGAAACCAGAAACAGAGAAAACTCCTGGAGCAACAGTGTCACCAATGCCGCATATTGTGTCAAATATTACGACAAAAGCTCAGTCACCAGAATTGAACCGCATTACTGACAGTGATAAGTTAGGTGAGAAATCGGAACCTGAGAAAACTACAGTAATGCCTCACATTGTGTCAAATATTAAGTCTTCAGAATTTCTGGAAAAGGATTCAGATAAGGAAAAATCACCACTTAGATCTCTCAGATCATCTGTGTCACCAAGTAAGGACAATGTGTCATCTGTTGAATCCTCATCTTCATCTAAATCATCTGCCATTCGTCGAGCAGAGTCATATGGGGCCAAGGACACAGATCGTCCAAAGGGAATTCTTAAACGGACCAAGTCCATGAAATCCAGTGTAATTGTGGATGAGGAATTAGCTGGTATTTTACGCAGACGGAAAAAGAAACAAGACAACAGTGACAGCGATGAAGATAGTGATGATAAACAAGATGTTGCCAGTGATATTCAGGAAACTCTCAGGTAAAAAGGGAGTTGACATTTGTAGCTGAAGGTAATAAAAAAAGATGCTTAGTTTCTCAGTTAAAACTAGTCTCTAGTTCAGCCATTTTTAGAAATATGGTTTACACATAGGCTGCATAGCTGCACATGTATTTTGGGGATGTAACTAGTCCCTTCCTTCCTTTTCTATCTTTCTCAAATAGAAGGCTATTACTTCAGTTTTATTTTTAAAAGACATAGTGTACGTATTAGGAACAATTATTGGATACAGGCTTAGTTATATAAGTATATAGATATATATACACTGTACTTGGCAGAATGCTTTTCCAAGAAATCCAGGAATAGGTCATACTTGTGATTTTGATGTTAATTCCTTTGGAGTTATCCCTCTTGTGTGTGTCGTATCTCAGACTATTTTCTCTCTATACTCTTAGAATCAGGAACTTTTATATGAAAGGTCAGTGTACACACTGTGTACATACATGTACATTGTACTGATGGATACATGTACGGTTGTCATGCTGTGGTATATTTATCTAAACAGAAAACTTGCATTGTAGTAAAACTGTCCGGAAGCTACTTCCTTTACAAGCCATTAAATCTTTAGTAGAGATTAAAATAAAATGAATCACTATACGTTGTGACTATGACAACACAAATAATATAAAATCAGGAGTCAAATATTTACACAGAATAGTCATTTTAATATATTAGTGAGGAAAAACAAAGAATATTGGTGGATCCCATTGAAAGGAACATTTAGATTATCTTGATATATATACCTGCGTGGCTTTTGGTGAGGAGTATTTATAATTAAGAGTGTGTGGAAACTGACAATAATGAATGCTGATAGCGCGATAGGAATGACTGGTGTCTGTCTTCTATTGCTGGTAGTGTATATCATATTTTGTCACTTCTCCAGAACTAAGAGAAAATCTCCAAAGGATTCATCACAGGACATCAAAGAGTAAGCTTGGCGAAAAAAAAATACAAATCTAGCAGATAGATTCTGGCTATAGATACATAACCTGTTTCCCACCTACATTATTTTGTGATCTGTCAGTTTTGCTCTTTTGTTTAGGAGGGAGAAGGAATTTCGGGGAGATACCACCATTGAGGATGAAGATGTCACACCTAAACTCTCCATGCAGGAGAGAATTTTTCAAATGCAAAACAAACTGGAGGAGGCAAAGTCATGTCCTATAACCCCCCGAGCCAAATCAGGAACTGCCACTCCAAAATTTGCCTTTAAAGGGAGGTAAGCACTATACTTTTGGTCATTATTAACCTTTAGACTTTTACTTTGAATCAAGGTCAACATACATGAAAATACAGTTTTATTACTAGTAATAAAGAGAACATAAACTGTTTAACCAGTGGTTTCCAAATGTCATAAGTTTTACTGTATGTTTACACAACATTGAAGATGGCTTAACCATAAAATCTTTATCTACAACAAAATTATTGTTCTGGGAACTAAGCAAGGAATCGTTTTCACTGCCTCTAAGCTGATTGACACATTGCATCACAGAACAACAACACATGGGTGTTTCTCTCCTCTGTTTTATTTCTTACTATTCTTCTTGCTTGTACTCGTGCCAGTTTTCTGCAGTCAGAGCTTTTTTTAGGTGAAGAAGAATGTCAGACTTCGGCACCAGTGACATTTCTTGCTGGGAGAGGTAGAGTTGTCTGTACATTCACAGCGAGCATTTTGTGTTTTGTTTTAGGACTGGTAGCTTGACTCCCCACTCTCAGAGCACAGAGGAGCAAAGCTCAGGCTCCCTTTGTGGTGAGCAGCTGATACAGAAACTCAGTAACCTAGCCGAGCTAGGCCACAAGGTGGGAAGTTTGGAAGAGAAGCGTAAGGCCTTCCAGAAACGTAAAAGGGAGGACTGGAGAACAAGAACTCAGCCAGTCACTTTAGAGGAAATCCAGGAGGCTGATGGGTAATTATGTGCTACCATTATACATGTTTAAAGATGTGTAGTGTGCTTTTGCTAATTATCATAGATAATTTGTTAATTTTGTGCATATAATATGTACTGTATAATGTTGTGAAATATATTGTCACTGTGTTACTCTAGAAATGGTATTTTGAAAATTATAATGCTTCATTAATACTTAATTTTACACATTTTCCATTTTGTTAATGCTTTATTTATCATGGAAAGTATGCATATAATTAGAAGTTATGATTAGAACTTTACACAGAAAAAAAAATATATCTCTAATCTTATAGCATTAAAATCACAACTTGCTTTTCATAAAAGAATTGGGATTTTACTGTTATTTCGTGTGCATACTTGTGATTTGAGGAGCTAGGGAGAATGGATTTTGTGGGTTTATATTGTGTTTTAGAATTTTGGGGTAGCTTTTGTTGTTTGCTATTTTACAGTTTACAATCAGTTGCTGATTTTAGACGTGAAGTGTTAAAAAAGGCATCCAAAAATGTGTTTGAACAACTTGAAAAAGACAACAAGAAATTGTTAGGAAAGAGGAGCGAATTTCCTCAACATTTACATAGAGAAAAATTAAGACGATCCCGAAGGGAACGCCATAAGACTTTGCCGATAACTGCAGCAGAACTTAATGCCATTCCTGAAGGGGAGTCAATTGGAATGGCAGGGCTGAGGAAGAAATCCGATTGGTCTAGTGCCAGAGACTCTAAAGCAGATTCTGGTATTCTGTCAGGGTCTTCTGATGTAGAAAATTACTGTGATAGCTTTGAATTCCAAACCTCTGAGGAAAGCCTTCGGAGCTTGAGTCTGGATCTGGACACACATGAGGATGATCCAGCCAGACTCAGTGTGTCTGCAAAAGCGTCCATGTTTACAAACATTGTAGAAAAGTCCAAACCTGATAAACCAAAGCCGTGTGCTAGTGGAGCTAAGAGATATATAGACAGGAAGAAAAGAGAGCGATGTCAGACTCAGCCAGTTACGGAAGAGGAGGTGAAGTCAGCAGCAGAGATTGCTGAGGGCGGGAAATCGGAGGGTGAAAAATCGCAGCAAGAAGAAGAGGAAAAGACGGATGACGCTGCTAGGTTGGTTGGGAATCTTTGCAAGCTTGTCCAGCAAGCCTGAGTCACATTCTTTTAAATATTTATTTACTTTTCAAGTGCTCTGCATGTTCATTGCTTATTGAGGGGCAAAGGTTTGTTTTTGGCGGTGCGAGGTGTGTTTGTGTGCAGCTTTTATCTACTCTGCTGCTTTGTATAAAAGAAAATAATTACTGTGTAAAGGAAGAAAACAGAAATTTATTTATGTAAAAACAGTATGTTAAAAAAATATCACCAAGATTTTATTATATAACTATATATGGCATTATGCTTTAGTCTTTCAAAAGCAAGTCTTAAATAGATCTGAAGTGACACTGAATTGCTTAGAACACCCCCAGATATCTCTCATAAATTCACTGCTTTTGTTATCTGTTATAAGAATGATAAAATATTAGCTGTTCTTTATTACTCATTTTATTTAAAAATGCTTAAACATGTGAGAAAATAGGTGTCAAAGTAATTATTGTTAAAGGAATCATTAACAGATGCATGAGTATTCACATAAAGGGATATTTATATCCTGGGGAAAAAATGAACGTGACAATATCTGGGTCATTAGGATGGATTAAGTATCAAATTTTCTCTCAAGATATGACAGGCATTTTATGAAGATATGGCGGTAATATTATTTGTCTGAGATTTAAATCAGTGTCAGAAACAGTGGCACCAGGAATCCAACATTGTTAACTGAGGCATGTGCATTCTCTTCCACTTGGAGCCCCAATTAATCTCAATTTGTGGAAATATGAGTTATCAAAACAGCTGAAATCAGTCACTGTAAAGATATAACTGCAGTACCTGTTGAGGTCTCATATTATTACCTGGAAATTTGGGAATGGGAAATTTTGAAAAGAAAGCTTGTTTAGGTTAACCGAGTTATTCTTATATAAATGTATATATCTAAAGTTAGGTGTTTTGCAATACCATATGTTTTATTTAAGGTTAATGTGTTTAATGAAGGCATTTATAACACTGATGTTTCATACATGCTATTTGTTTCCATGCACAGGTGTTAATTTTAAACATTCAGACATTAGATTTTTAAAATTTTGGTATGTTTTGCCAATTCTAGGCGAAGTTTGGCAGAGAAGGTTAAACTGTTCTCTAGCTTGAAGGAACAAGAGAAAGTGCCCCCCAAAGCTGACCCCCCAGTCATCAGACGGAGGAATCGCAAACAGCTGACCTCACGATTTAATACTCAGGTAATTGTTATTTACTGACCACATCTTTATGATATAGATAATTAAAACATACTACAAATTGAAACATGATATTTGGAATGGGGAGATTAGAAAAACTAGTGACAATTTAATTATAATAGGTCTGCATATTTAATATTAAATTGCATACATAATATGAAATGTGGGATCATACATCTGTTTTAAGTCAGTTACAGTAAGTTGTAAGTAATGATTTGTATGAAACAAGAGTATTCACACCTTGAAGGTTCAACTTTGGTCATCTGCATTTGTAATATTAATCTATGCATATGTATATGTATGTGTTTACGTAAGGTCAACTTTCCCCATGACCATACTGTGACCTAGTTAAGTCAGTGTATATAAATTACATATATCTTTCATGACAGGATGTAGGATATAGAAAGGTAATTAGATCTAACACAGTTTAATATTTACCTTGAAATATATATATTTCCTTATTCTGTATTTATTTTGACACTTTATAAACTGGGCATTATCATTGAGGTTTGTTTCTTTATGCAATGTTTATTTTTTGATATAAATAGGTATCTTTAAAAATTAAAACTATATACAAACTTGTATAACTATAGATTGATATTGTTGTACCCTTGGACAATAAGAAATGTTTTGGAAACCCCTGTGGTCAATGTGTAGCAATATTTATTTATCCTGTGATTATCAGTGTTGACTCTTGACCTTTACTGTACACATAGAGGGAGTTTTGCTGTCACTCATGCTTTCTGGTGGTCCATTTTATATATTTTTTTTTAACTAGAATATAAATTTTCTATTAATTTTATGGCAAGATACCATAATTGTTCCACTTAATGGAGCTTTTGTCAGTCATTTGTGAAGGAATTTTTAACCTGAAGATATAAATTCTGCAATGTTTTGGTTTTATTAATGGGACTGGACTGTTTTGTTCAATAGCCAGTGACCATTGAAGAAGTGGAGAAGGCAGCCCAGTACCGAATCTCTCCCCTGGCCATGAGTATGGTCAAACCACCAGACCCAGAAATCATGCAAGGACTGTCCGTGGCAGCTCAGAGGGAACTCATGGCTCAACATGCCGAGAAAATCATGTCTCAGCCAAGCTCGAGACAAGGCTCAAGTGTGGACCTGTCAGATAAATCTCAGTCCTCATCAGATCTCAGCAAACAGAGCTCAGACAAAGGTTAGTCTCAGATGTACCATATCGACAAAAACGAAGATAAGTCACTTTCTGTGCCAACTGATTCAGGATTTACTGAAGTCATGTTTTATAATAGAAATATCCTTACCTTGTTTCTTTCAGAGAGTATGTTTACTCAGCCTGTTTTAAAGATAATCCAGTAGCTCATAGTACTTAAATAAAGTGATAAAAAAAACACTCCTCTCATATCAGGAAGAATAAGTGTATTTGTTTTTCTTCAGAGTAGGACATTATTAGAACTGAGAGAGATTTTAAAAGCACACTTTAAAAATTATCAATAAAACTTCCTTAAGAATTTCACAAAGTCACAATTGCTCTTGATTTGCATACTTTTTAGAAGGACCAATGAGCAGTAAGACTGTTGAGAAACAATTAAGTAAGAGCATGTCAAAGTCAGAGGGGGATGTGAAAGGCATTCTCAGAGGTGACAGTGGTAAAGGAGTGGAGGAACCTCGAAGCATTCTAAAACATCATGTGGAAACTCATGAGGAACTCAAGAGAATCATGCTGGAAAGAGAAGAACATAGGAGTATACTGAAATCCAGCAACCACAGCTTAGCTACAGAACAGAAAGGTATTCTGAAGACACCTGGAGGAAAAGAGGAGGACTTGGAGGAGGAAAAAGCAGGTGTGCAGGAAGAAATAGTGAAAGGTGTCCTGAGGTCCTCGGGAATTGAGGAACTTGGAAGTGACTCGGAACCAAAAGGTATTTTGAAGAAAGAGAGTAGTTTTGAGGTGAAAAAATCTGAACCTGAGAAAGGTGTGTTGAAAGACAGCACCTTTGAGGTGCATCAAGAGGAGCCTGAGAAAAGTGTTCTGAAAGAAAGCAGTTTTGAGGTTCCCAAATCTGAACCTGAGAAAGGAGTGCTTAAAACAACTGGACAAAAAGAGGAAACAAATGTTCATGGAATTTTGAAGAAAGACAAAGAGGAAGACATAGTGCAACCTCGAGTGGAGGAAGTGAAAAGATCAGAAAGAAAGTCTCCATCTCCGGAACGAAAAGCTGCAGGAGGGTGTGCTGCATCCATACGAAGAAGAAAAGACCGCAAACAGCAGGAAAGGTGAGTTTTTATGAAGGATCAACTTCACTAAAAGGGGTTGTAACGCACCTTTTAATAATTTAATATCTGTTCTGGGTTTTGAAACCTTTTCATTGTTGTATGTTTTCCCATGAGATTTTACCACAGTATATAGGATAGGTAGCAATGTTCTGAGTTGATGTCACGTTACTGTGTTTGGAGAGAAAAACATCATGACATTTATTTTCTCACATCTCTAGTGAAGTAGATTCAGGTACAATGCTATTGCATTTCAAGATTTGCTGTACTGATAAATTAATGAATATTAGGCCTTGAAATTTGCCCAGTGATGAACACAAAAGTTTTGGACTGATAGCATGATGTGTTTTGAATGTACACTATTTGTGGAAAAATTAATCATATCCAGTAACATGAAATATTTCACCATTGCAACCCATAAGCCCTGTAACCTTGTGAATGTGGCCAGATTATGTAAATATGAATGTTAGGTAGTGATTGATAGAACATTGATGGATAGGGAGATTTGTATGTTATAACTATAGCTCGAAAATTGTCACTCAATGACCCTAGCATGTGTGGGCCTTACTGTAGTGAGATACAGTTCTGTGCCAAACTGACGAGATTATATAGATATTTGTGTTTAATTAGGCTTGTGAATTCACACCAACTAGTAAGTTGTAAGATATCTTTTCATATGACCTAGGGCTAAGCAAGCTATACCATCTTATGTCAACAAAAACCCCATGGATGGCCTCCTAATACATAATACACTATGTTTAGACTGATAGTCATATTGAACTCCAATCAAGTTTATTAGTTTACTTAGGACTAGATGAAAGTTATAAACTGTTAGAGCACAAAGGACAGCTGGACTATTACTGGGCTATAAGGAATACGTTTGTTCCCTCAGGAAAGGGAGATTTTACGCTCTTTTAAGGACAACAGGAAATAGATGACATCTGAATGTTACCCGGTTGTTATATTGTTATTTTACGCCTTGGTCAACATGTGCTAAAATTTTCTAAAGATGTGTGTGAAAGGTAACGACATTGTGATGAGAGGAAATGTCAGATTATTAGTTTTAATTAAGTATTTAATGTATGGAAAATTATAGATGTTGTAAATAAAGGGTCCATGATCTATGTGTTAAAATTGGAATAGACAGTTAATACATCATGAATTGATTGAAAGTGGGAAGTGCAGTGATTTTATGAAGGAACTTTTGTTTCCTGTATTTAAGAGCCAAAAACTTGGCACACTATTTTGTGTCTCTTCATTGTGCAATGTAAGCGGGATTGATCGGGCTGTAGGCCTAGAGTGTGCACTTCACATCGGATGTTAAGGTTTGCCGGCCACACGAAGGCTGCAGCATACAATTCGGAAGTCTGTGGTCGTGTTATTTGTAACCAGTACACTATTAAGGATCAGTAAACAAAGTCTGTGAGAAAAAACTAATGTGATTAAGACAAAGTTTACTCTCATGTGACATTTTTTTAGTCATGCAATAGTACAAATACGGATATTTTCTCAGTGTCAGAACAAAAGCTTTGTGAACATGCCTAAGTTTGGACAGGATATGATTGCAAATCTCATTTTGAAATTTGAATCCAAATCAAATAAATCAAAATCACAAAAATTGGAATTAAAACCCCAAGCATCACCCAAAAGGTTTGTGTTGTATTTATTTATTTTTTTTTTAATATGTATTACAGTATATTTTACATATATAAAAGAGGAATGTTAATTGTTATGATATTTTCATGTATGAAGCATTGAACTCTGTACCATAGGATTTGAACTATGTATATAAGTGTATTTACATGTTGCATGTACATCTTGTTCCAAATGTTTGATATGCATGTAGCAGTGTTAATCCATTTATCTGGTGCAGTGCAAGGGGTAGCCAAGCACGTAAGCAAATAAGGACTTGGAGTAAAAGTCTTTTTTTTTAATTAAAAATAGTAATACTGCTTTCTATTAATAAAAAACTAAAAGTGAAAAAAATCATATGGAGATACAATATAACACTGAATCTGCAGAAAAAGGCATTCAGCTAATTAGGGGATATTAAAATATGACTCATATGTGCATTATTTATGACCTTGAAGTTGAAAAATATGCCATAGCATTTGAGTAAATATGGACTGAGTACTGCCAGTTAATTATTTGTTCAGAGTTTGCCCACACTTAGAGACTTAGTGTTAAAATGTTTTAAGTCATAAACATCTATAGCTTACAGAGTTTTATTCTTTGTATACTGTATGTTCATGTATTATTCTGCAGATTCCTTACCCAGCCAAATGATAAAACCTCGCCAGAAAAATCCCCTGAGGGTTCACCCAAACTCCGGTATGGGGCCACGCGACACAAGACACAGCCTATCACCCCAGAGGAGAAGCGGGAGGCAGAGGAGGGGCAATCAGATGTCAAAGTCTCAGTCAAGGACAGGTAACTCTAGTTTGACTCACTTGTTACACAGGAAAGGTGTGAATCAAGCAGTGATGAATGTTAGATGTACAGGAAGTCACATAGTTTCAAATAACAGGTGCTTGATTAAAACTTAAGTACTTTAAAGTGCTGATTGGTATGTGTTAACTAGGAGTATGTTGTAATATATTTCCAATTGAAAAATAAGAGTCAAATCTTGAAATAAAACATCATTAAACTCATTAAATCTGGACGATAGAATTTTTGTTAGAAGGAGAAGTTTACCAATAGTATGCTCATTGTACACATGTTTGACTGGAGTTTTCATATTTGTTTAATCTGAGGAAGTGTCACAGAAAAATTGAGTTGTAATGTTATAAATGCAACCTTTATAAGAATGAAAAAAAAATCATTGAAATCATGAAAACAAGTGAATAATAATTATATTTACACTTTTTGATTTGTTTTATGTAGATTGAGCCAGCTAAAGAAGAGCGGAGAGGAGGATTGGAAGAAGAGGGTGTCCAAGTCCCCTGATGTCAAGAATGGAGAGGTGGAGGTCAAACTGCGAGAGAAGAAGGGACTGGACATGCCCCGCCCCAGCAGTATCGCTGATCGTCTTAACCTGTTGGAGAACTCTCAGGTGGGCTGGAGGGGTAGAGTGGAAGAGAAGGATGCATCAAGGTTCACAGTGGCCCATAAACTGGCTGGTAAGTGTGATAGTGTTTTAGGTCCTCTACATACAAAGTGGTTGGGTCTGTGATTAGGCTCCCTATACTAAGAATAGGACTTAAGTGGAAGTCTGTAAGGAAGAGGTAATTATTAAAATGTAGTGTTTGATCTTTATTAAACAAAACATCAAACGCATGTGCAGCTTTTATTCAGTTCCGAGAATATCCAATGCTCCCTAATATGGTCCATTTTCAAGTTCTCACCATCTGTGTTTCTTTTATGTTCAAATATGAAAGACATTGCATCTTTTGATCATTTGCAAATCATTGTTTTACTTAATTATGTAATTCTTTCAATCTGAAGCTTTGAATACAATGAAAGAATAAAAATAGAAGGCTAGAAAACTCGAATGAAACTCAAAAATTACTATCTCCAACAAAACAGTGTTGTAGTATGTTTTGTATGTACATGTATATATGTATATGCATTAGATGTGTTAATCATATGATTTATATAGACTTTGTTCTTATATTAAATACATTGTTTTTATTATAATTACATATTAAGCCTTTAATATTGTACAAAATTAGATCATTATTGTATGATAATTTTGATTTTCCTTTGTATAGGTCAGGTGGAGGAGAGTCCAATGATGAAGAAGCTGAGAGAGAAAACCAAGAGAGGTACTGAAGTGTGTGACTAATGTTTTATTTATTTATTTTTTTGTTTTTGTTTTGGTGCTACTCAGACACTACCTTCTATATATAAGCCAGATACAGCGTGTGGTGAAGACTAATTATATACTGTTTGCTGTGGTCATTGTCACAGCTTACTGATTATAATCAGCACTCAAAGGGCAGATAACTCAATGAAAGATAGAAAATTCAGTTTCAGTCAAAATTCAGTGACATTTTAAGACAGAAAAGGAACATCTACAAGACATGACATTTAGATTATAAAAAGAATTTCAAAAACAAAAAAACCTTAAGTAAAATGTTTTTTATGAAAGCATGGCAGATAGTAGATATTATGAATAAAGCAACAGTAGAAAATTGGTTTGAATGCCAGGGGCTAAGGGTTTATCATATATTTACACATAAAGGGTGTTTAAAGTATGATGTGCTTGCTTTAATTATATAATCAGCTAGTCACTGTTGTATGACTCCCAATAATTCAAGGCATTTCTCTTAGAATTAAAAAAAAAAGAGTTTTTTTTCTTTCTAACTAATTGAATAAATTTTGGATTTTGCAAGTAAAACACAGTATTTGTTTTGATTACTTTGTAAAGTAATTCTATATGTGCAAAAAAAAAAAAAAAAAATCCAGAGCAGAAAAAAGTCTTCCTTTATAAGACATTGAAATGCTTTGAATGACTGGTAGTTGGTTTCATATCATTAATGTGTATCAGCCATGGCTTTTTTGTCAACATCACCTAACACACGGGGCACTATGCATTCATTTTTACAGACTCGGAATCAGAATCTGGGTCACCTGTTACGTTGTCACCTTCCACCCCCACGCGAGACTTGCCAAAAATCCCCCTTCCAAAGACCATCATTTCAGGTAAGATAACACAGTGTAACTCAAAATTATGGAGGCTCACAAGATCGGAATATGACGAGGAAACAAAGAGGTACATGTCTAACCCCTGTATACACACAATATTATGTTACTTTTAAATGAAAATTTTTAATACAGAATTGAAACAGTTAAATTTTGTAACCCCTAACATGTATCCCATCAAGTAATTATTTTATATTTCATCATAAAGCAATAATCATTGCAATATTTATTATGGGCTGGAATGTAGAAGACATATTAATCATTGGTTCTATGTTGTTTATATATTGTCACTAAAATTGCACTAACTGCTTTTATGGTGGTGATTAAAATTTTTGTAATATATTTTTTTGTAAAAACATGTATTTTATTTAACAACTCTTAATTTTGTATTCAAACACTGTATTTATTAGATTAGATTGATTTTGTTCTTATTAGTCAGAACTTAGTAGCAAATCATTGTGCGAGTTTCATTGAATTCTTACATCATAATCAATTTTCATCAACTAATGATGCTGTTAAAACATTTGTAAAATTAGCTTTTAATTTTGTATCAGGACCTCCAGTTGAGGACGAATCTGAAGCCAAACCTAAGGGGGTCACAGTTGGTGTAACCATGGAGACTGAGGAGGTCAAAGAACCTGTGAAGGTCGCGGTTCCATCCATGGATGACGATCAACTGAAATCCTTCTTTAGACAATCGTCAGAAGTGGAGGAGACTCAGGAGAAGATTGATGTCTCTGTAGAAGATTTTAATGAGCTTTTCATCATTGCTAATGACATGTAGGTCCTAATTAGATGCTAATGATATATAGGTCCTAATTAAATGAGGAAAATGATTTAAGGTTTTGTGAGGGGCCTTAATAGAAAAACACAAAACTTTTGAAAAGAGAGAGTAATAAATGTCAGAGTAGAAGTTTATTCAAAATGTGTAGAATTTTTAGCCTTTTATAAACTTTGAGGTTAAAATTTATTTTGTCAATTACCTGTACAAGAGGAAATTTCATTCATCTGTATCATTCAAGTACTGAAAAACATTTTTAAAAGGAATTTCTTAATTTGCATACAATTTTGATAGGCTGCCATCCATGAGGAAGATCCGTCCTAAGCGTAAACACACTGCCTCAGTAAGGAATCCACTGAAGACGACATCAGTGGAGATCAGGACAGAGTATGAAGAGGTCAAGATGGGATATGCTGAATTAGAAATCAGACGCAAGCAGAAAGAGAAAAGTAAGTATTTATTGATCGTACTTCACTGTCAAGATTCTACAGCACTGACATTTTGGATCATTTTCTCAGTTTAAAAATTCATTCAAAATTGAAGATGCAGAAATCTGCATTCATGCATCCTATTTTTTTTTAAAGATAGTTCGTTTTTCTTATCTAATACTGATGAAATTTTTTTGTGGAAATCTAAATATCTTGTCTTCTTACAGTTGCAGACAAAGCTGGATTTGCGGAGGCAGCCCTAGCTGGTTTAGCTAGTAAAGAAAACTTTGCCAGTGTGGCTCTCCGTAAAACTGCTGAGTCATCTGGCTCCAGCATGCCCTCTCGCCTTGATCCCTACAAAGACCTTATGCTTATCCATGTCAAAGGTCGCCGCAGACTTCAGGTCCGCTTAGTGGAGCCATGTGCCAAATCCATTAACAGTGGTGACTGCTACATATTGGTCACTCCTGACAAAGTTATCAACTGGGTGGGGGAATTCTCGAATGTCATCGAAAAGGCAAAGGTGAGCAATATAAAAAATATATATGTATAATGGCAAAAATTTCAGGTTCAAATATTGTACAGATAAACAGGCTTACAGTAAACTTCTTAACCTGTTAGAAGTGCGATTTGTTTCTCATGGATAACCAATTTTTTTTATTACCAACATTTGTTTTGTTGTTTCCTATAGGCTGCAGATATTGCCACCTTCATTGTTCAGAAGAAAGACCTTGGAACTCGAGCACCACTAGTAGAGAATGTGGAGGAGAAGAGACAGCACCTGGGGACTGGCAAGAAATTCTGGTCAGCACTGGGAGGACTCAAAACCATATCATGTAAGAGGCTACATTTGGCAGTGATTTTCTTCTTAAGAACACGCTTTTTCATTGCTTCCTTGAAGACAATAAATTTTGTTTGAAACTTGCCTTTTTTTCAATCTGCCAAGAGTAAATGAGGTTTAAGTTTACTTCTATTCCTCATTATTCTTGTGTACCGTATTTGGCCGAATATAATACACATTGGTGTAAAATACGCACCCCCCTTTTTGAGCCTGAAACGGGGGGAAAAAACGCAGTTCGGTTGTATTATACGCAGCAGAAAATTTTATCAAGCGGTGTTCTGAACTTTTGAAAATTGCGGTAATTTTCTATGAAAATCAGCGCAGAGATAAAGTGCCGAAAATTTATAGAACACGATATTTATTCAAATGGGTTTTTATTTCTTAATCCTGACTTTCCATATCGCGGCAATCTGGAGGAAATTATTTATTTTAACAAAGCACGAGATAATGTTGCATTAAAGTATCAACAGAGTTTATTAATATTTTTTTTTAACATACGGTGATATTGAAATTATACCTCGCCATATTCTAACTATTCTTTTGGAAATAATTTTATTTCAACAAAGCACGAGATATTGTTGCAAGTTTAACAGTTGTAATATTTATTTTTAGTTTAAGGTAATCATGTTGAAAATTGTGTAAATTTAACAGGGCAAGCGATATTGCAACATCAAAGTATTCATAGACTACGATTTTCCTCTTTTGAACTTGAAATTAATTAAATAAATACATGTAGCTGATGTTATCAAAATAAAATCAAAATTTAACAAGAGTGTAAAGTGTAGTTATCAACACACCTCCAAAGCTGTGAAAAATGAAGTACAAAGGTGGGATATATGTCTTCATACATCGAGGTAATCTTCGTGGATATCTTATTTTCTACAGAGCACGAGTAAATGATAACACGTAAGTTTCATCATACTTTATATTTCCTTTTTTAACTCTCAATCATTTTAACACGAAGTCGATATAAGATAAAGTAAAATTACATTTAACAACCGTTTAACTGTTTAATGTGTCGTAATCAACACACGCTTATACATACGAAAGATCATAAACCAACCCCCGATTTTTAAACAAAGAAAATAATCAAAGCCATTAATAAGAGCAGTAAATAATCAGTGCTCTAACTGTAAAAACAATGCTTTGGGGTCGGTAAACAATTTAATTGCCTGGAGGGGTGTTGAGGGGTAATTATCAAGTGACAAGTGCACGTGTTCACAACATTGGCTTCCATTCATTGGGACGTATAGAGGGATGTTTATGTTGAAATTAATTTTCACTGAGTTGTTTAAAGCCTAAAATAAAATTTATCTTATTGTATTTCATTAAAAAATGACTTATTACTTTTTTGTCCAAGTGTCTGACTGATTAGGTACACTGTACATGTGTACTATGATTACGGAAGCACGTGGCAAAGGAATGTGAACATCTATAAATAACATCGTTAATGGCTGCCTACACGGAGATGATGAACATGCAGCACAAATTAATTTTAACTTGCTTTTAAATTTAATTTAACTATCAAAGTGTTATAAATATACCATTTTTAACAAGCCTACATTCCAACAATAACTTTCCGAAGTTTTAAATACGGCTTTAAACAGAAAGAAATTGCATAAGTCTCTAGGCAATACTACGGTATGTACGTATGATAGCCGTGTTTCACATGAAAGAAAAACCTATCAAAATCCCATTGTGGTGTAAAATACGCACCCCTTTCTCACAGAATATTATTTTGGGAAAAAAGTGCGTATTATATTCAGCCAAATACGGTAACTGAAGTCTGAACTTTTTCATCTCTTACTGCATATGATCTGCTCTGTGCTAATGCAATTAAATACTGATAATGTTTCCATTTTATAGCTGCTGGGCCCCCAGAGGAAGATGAGTTGTATGAGAACCATATCATGGCTTCCAACATGGTGTACAAACTAGAGAACAACTCACTAGTACCGTACCAAGAATACTGGGGCTGTCAGCCAAAACATGAAATGCTCAAGAAGGATCAGGTTGGTTGGCTTTAATTTGTTCACAATTTCAAAGCCAGGGTTTCTATATTATTTGTGGTATTTCATTTCCATAATCTATTATCCTTTGGAGAGATATGTGAATTAAAACGTTTTGTTGAAGAAATTAATACCAATTTTAAAGGCAAAAATCTCCACAGGGGCTGAACAATGTCTGGCATTGCAGAACTTCTTATATAAAAAACCTTTTGTAGTTGTGCAGTTCTTCATGTTCATCATTTCTAATACAGGTGCTGGTCTTTGATTTTGGCACCGAACTCTACGTGTGGCAAGGGAAAGCGGTGAAACCTGAGAGACGTAAAATGGGTGTCAAACTCGCTCGTCAGTTGTATGAGAAAGGTTATGACTACAGTGCATGCGACATAAACCCAATGTCCCCACTGTCCAGTGAGTTGTCCTCCTTGCTTTTGTTTAAGTACTGTCAGGCCTTTGATTGCCTGTATGTTAGTTATGTTAAATATGTCTATTAACATTCACTGAAGCTACTAGAATTCGATGTTGTGAAATTTCAGGCTGTGTTTTGTTAAGATAATGGTAACGGGTGACTGAATCCAGATTTGTTACATGCACATTTACTAACAGAATTGCATCCAATTTTTTTGTTTTGTCCAAGAGAGGACATCTATGAGGTGTATCAGTATTACCTATTTATATGTTGTTCCTGTATTGGAATGAGGCCTCCAAACAGATTGTGTTCACTTTTGAACGACTTGCTTTCCATGTTCACTGAAAAGCATCCAAGGAGAGCTCTGCAATTCTCATTTTGTGTAGAAGTAAAAGAGAAGCAAATATTTTAATTATATTCATGGAAACATCTGATTATTTTACAGCTGAGGAGATGGGTGGCTTGCCATCAGTTGCCAAAGAGAGGCCATCGTGGGGATTGTTTGGTAAAGTGAATCAAAATATGGAGACCATCTTGTTTAGAGAGAAATTTGCTGACTGGCCAGATACTTCACGTCTCATCAAGGTCAAAAGTCTAGACACAGGAAGCAAGGTGATCAGGAATCTTCAAAATCAGACATTTTTTAACTTTCAAACTTTATAAATGGTTCATGCTTAATGATGTTTTAAAATTGAAACATCAGGAATTGTAATGTTGCAGCTTTCTCTTTTTTTCTTTTTGTTAATACTTTGACCGCATGCAGTATTGATAATGAATGTCATTATTTCAGACTGATCTGACGGAACTAAAACCATATGATGCCAAGTTAATGATTCCAGTCAACAAAGACCCAGTATCTCTAGTCTTAGAAGGCTCCAATCTGGGCAGGGGAAATACATGGTAAAACTGAAAAATTTTTTCAATTATTTTTTCATAATTTTCTTGGAGGTTTTGTTTTCAAATTAATATACAGTAGACACTTGATTATTCTACAAAACACTAAAAACTATTCTAAACAGGAATTGATTTATTGAAGTTATTGTTACTATACTGTATATCACCAAATTTTTGCTACACCTTATTTTCACAAGATGGGTATTTGGTATTTATGAGCGAGAAAAAATTTTCATGAATGCTGGTTATTGCTGTATATATCCTATAATATTAAAATTATACTTGAGAATGAAAATTTCACAAGCAGACTGTCTCACACAATTATGCGAAAACAAAGTTCTCGCAAATAAAAGTGATTTTACATGCTGTTTTATCCATTTTTCAGGGCTGAAGACATGGACGGGTTTATAAGAGAACAGAATATTGTAACACTAGGAGTCACTGTGTGGCACGTTTTGGAATATGAACACTATAAGATGCCAGAACCAAGTTTTGGTCAGTTCCATGATGGAGATACTTATGTTGTCAGATGGCAGTACATGATTACAAACAAAGGTAGGTAAAATGCTTCAAACCAAAAAACCATGTCATTCTCTTATGAGAGAATAAAATGTATGGCTCTTTTAATACTGGTACATAATTCACTTAAATATTTTGTGATTTTATTTTCTTGAGACAGTACATTGCACTAAATGCAAAACACAATTTTCTCAATATGTTTCTCATAAGTACTTAAAGTTAATTGCTATTGAATAAAACATAATATTGGATTCCGGTTATCTATACAGGTATATTTTCACTTTTGCAGGAACAAACTTGAAGGGCACACAGTCTCGTAGATCTCTAGTTGGTCGGGAGAGGTGTGCTTATTTCTTCTGGCAAGGAAAGAACTCCACCATCAATGAAAAGGGAGCCTCTGCTTTAATGACAGTAGAACTGGATGAAGAACGAGGACCTCAGGTAAATTCTTGTCTGGAGATTTTAAGATTTGTGTAAATAAAATGGAATATGGAAAATGCACAAAAACACATTACCTTTGCTACCTTTGCATGCACTTTGTAAACACAGCATCAACTCTGTATCTTATATGTTTATGTTTATATTTTGCATTTTATAGGTACGAGTGGCAGAAGGGAAAGAGATGCCATGTTTTCTAAATCTTTTTCAAGGAAGGATGATAACACATATAGGAAAACGTGAAGATGAGACGACCAACACCCAGGGGTCATGGCGATGTTACTGTGTCCGTGGGGAATATGAAAACGAGCTCTGTCTGATTGAAATACCTATGGGGGCTAACAGACTTCGCAGTCAAGCCTCTTTCATCGTACTAAATATCAAGTCAGGTCTTCTATTTGTGTGGCATGGCTGTAAATCTCCACCACATTGTCGAAAAATGGCCACCAAAGCAGCAGAAAGATTGAAAGAAAAGTAAGTCTTACATAAAGTGTTTCATAAGATTAGCACTTTGAATGGTGCAGTTAGTCATGGTTTTGTCAGCTATAACTGCTTAGATCATGTTAATGAACTTTACCTGGCAGGTGTCCCCTGGAAGTAGGAGTCAAGGAGGAGTGCTATATATTGATCACTGAGATGGAGGAGGGGTCAGAGAGACCCGAGTTCTGGTCAGCCCTCAGGGTAAAGCCCAACACAAGGTCACTCTACTGTAGTCTTCTCAATGGTAAGTATCTAAGTATCCAAACCCTTCATACTTTAACTTAACAGTAGGGAAGGAATTTTACAAGCCATTTAGTCTTCAAATTTACTTTGAAAAAAAAACAAGATCTGGAATAAAAGAAGTATTTAAAATAACTAATATGTGTATACATGTGTCATTTATTTTTAAGAAAAAGAAAGATATGAAATTGCTTAAATTCAATTCTTATAGATCCAACATCTTATGATTACACACTGCGAGTTTTCCACATGACAAGTGCCTCGGGGAGCTTTGATGTCCATGAAATTCTCAACCCGTCTCGAACACCAGATCTCAGTACTCCTTTTCCTGTTCTCCAATCAGACCTGTACAATGCTTCTCAACCAGGTCAGTACTAAAAAAACACATTTTTCCTTTAAAACCATGAAATGTACTATAAAGGAGGTCAGTACTGTTATTCTTTTATACCTTAATGATCGTTTTTTTAAATTTTTAATTTTCAATATGGCAGTGTTGGGTCCTGGATTATTACTTGTCCTGTGTTATTATAGGTCTGTTTTTGGTGGATGATGATAATATCATGTATCTGTGGCATGGCTGGTGGCCCGAGGCAGACGCGGAGGAGGAGAACATACTGACAGGCTCTGCCAAGTCTCGCTTCAGTGTGGACCGAAAATGTGCAATAGAAACTGCCATCCATTACTGTCAAGGTATAAAATAATATGATTAAAGTCAGAAAAATATCTTTGAGATCAACTATGAAGTTAAGTTCTGAGGTTTCGAAAGTAGTGCAATTAGTTAGTCTAGAGAAATACCAAACTATAGCTGCATTGTTTGTCCATAAATTTATCTTGAAAGAAATGCAACATTTTAGCATTCTTTTTACAGAAAAAAATCCCGAGAATCCCCCTAAGGCTGTTGCAGTGTATGCTGGTCTGGAACCTCTGGAGTTTACCAATCTTTTCCCATACTGGGATGTAGATGAGACTGCCAAATCTCTTAATCTCAGGGTAAGTCACACCATGTTTATGAACTAAGTTCACTCAGTTAAAACCTTAGTCGTGAGGTAACTCTATATTCATGCAGGCACATAGCCATCTCAGATAAATCTATTAGTCTCATGGAAATTAAGTAACTCCATGCTTTGGCACATACATCACTGCTAAATCTCTTATGGTAAATCATCACTTGTACATGCATAATCTCTTAATTTTGTGTATATAGTTAAGTCACTAAAAGTTACAGGGGTACAGTTATTTTCTAAGAATATCAATTGGACCACAGTTAAACTGTTCAATGGAAAATAAATATTCCAACTGTTCTTGCTCCACAGGAAGGTAAGCAGGAAGGGGAGATGACTCCTCTGGAAGAGATTTTGGAGAAAGTGACAAAGACGCGATACTCATATGAAGAACTAATGGAAGACGAACTACCTGATGGCGTGGACCCCAAACGCCTTGAATCCTACCTCGATGATGAGGAGTTTGAGGTAACTGTCTTTGAATTTTGGATGGATATATGATTTTTTCATTGTCTCAATATTTAAGTAATTATCATTTCAAGGAAAGTCTTATTAATGTAATTCTCATTTTTTCAATGCAGGAAATAATGGAAATCAGTCGTGAAGAATTTTACAAGCTACCACAGTGGAAACAGGACAAAATTAAACAACAAAATGGACTGTTTTAAAAAATTGTAATCACCAGTGGCTGAAAGCAATCTGGAAATACAAACAATTCCTCTACTTAACCAAGAAATCCATTTTTGTAGTTAAAAAGGCAGTTACACTTTGCAGAATTTATTCAGCCTAGAAAATTTCATGGATAATTTTAATCCATTAAATTCTGTTATATGAAAATTTTTAACAAAACCACTAAAAAGTAAAGGTCATTACTTAAAATGAGTCATGAAAATTTTAATGAAAAAGTGGCATTGTAAAAGAGATGCATGTATCTTATTTTTCCTCATTTAAATGTACTTTCAATTTGACCTGTATCAACACCTATAGCTGTTGTGGAGTGAACAGCTGAAAATATTTGTTAAAAAATCACACTCAGCATTCTGTTTTGACTCAAAATATGCTCAGCAACTACATAATTCATTGCCCTATTATATAATTTGCAATAAATAAAAGAAATGTCTTTCATGTATGTTAGTGTACCAAAGATGTACAGAATTTCCTCTGTTCCAGCAGGGCTGGGAATATTGGTGCTTTATTGTGTGTGAGGTCATAGAATTTGGATATGCATCCATTTGCTTGTTATTTCAAATGCCCATTGATATATGAATTACATCCAGTAAATTGTCAACATTTTTTAATTTTTCATTTTTGACACTTTTCCTCCTTTCTTGTTATATTGAATTTAAGGAATGATAATTACATTGTTTACATTTTTTTATCAGTCCAGAAGCATTTATATTCGATGTAATTTTTTTTCACTGCCCAAACAAGAACAATGAAGCTTATAACTCCTTTGACTTTTTCCTTCCCTTCAAGTATAGGCCTTGGTATTTAAAATTTAGACGTACAATATTGTTTTTAAAGCAACACTTGCAGTCTTCTTGCAGAGATTGAGTTGGCTAACATTTTAATGTTATTGAAAGAGGTATACATTAAAGAAATAGTCAGTAAATAATTGTCTTACAGGAGAAAGGAGCTGCCCAAGTCTAAAATATAGAAAAAAATGGGGGTATGAATTCATGAAATAACCTTTTTAAGTACTCTGTGAATTTAATGTTGTACCTTATAAGTAACTCCAAAACCACTGATTCCTTGCACCATATTTAACAAGCATTTCTTGGAAAAAGTGTTCAGTATGACAGAGATAACATTATGTATTTTAGTGGGGGTTTTTTTTGAAGAATTATTGTGAGAAAAGGGTCAAGGACAATAAAAGGTCAAGGAGACTTTCTTATGATGAGATTTTTGTACTGATGCTAGCAATTCCTAAAGCAACTGTGATCTTACTTTAGTGGTAGATATTTCCCCCTTTGCTTGTTTGTATACATGTGTATATTGTTATTGTCTGTATTGTTCTTTTGTATTAAAAAGTGCTTCCAAAATAAACTGTTACAAAGATTTTATTGCTTTCTTCATTACATAGATAAACAATTGTACCTGTGTGTAGTAGGTTTGGCAAATTCCAGAATATTGTAATCAAGGATTTGAGATACTGAGTAAATGTCCATAATCAACATTGACCACCAGGGTGTTTAACATGTACATACACTAAATAATTCTTTACTTTTTAAATAATATGACCATTGCTGTTATCACTGTATTAAACAAGAAACTAGATAGAACTGGTTTTTAAGACCATCTTTTTGAAAGTAGGCTCTTCCATCAAGGTAAGATGGAGTAGACGAATAATAATATATTTATTATCAAAGAGAGCATTTTATTGTTTTAAAATACACATTTAATATCGGGGTCATCTTTTTTAGATCTCTGGAGGTGAGACTTATTGTAGAATCTATCATTTTTGTCATCTGTTTTAGTGGTTTAACATATTTACATCCCTTGTTATCAAGGGATGTATCATTCTGGATGAGGATTAATCTATCATAATGATAATGCACATGCACTAAATTATCAAATACATGTCCAGACGTAGAAAAAAAGAATTTTGAAAAATCTCTATCATTTCTAAAGGATCTGGTTAAGGAGTTTCACTTCTTGAAATTCATAATTTTATTTCTTCCAATAATGCTAATGTAGAACTGGACAGTTCTGCTATTTCTATTCATCCATTGAGTCTGAAATTTAAAAAAAAAAGTTCACTCTTTCAGCTTTGAAAAATCTTGCGCTTACCTTGGAGGCTTTCTGATTTTGCTTGCGGCCAATTTGATGCTCTGTGTCAATATCTTAATGATTTATTATATAAAGCGATTTACATATTTGGATTGCACATCAAGCATCATGCCTTTATCAGTCCTTTCCAAGAAGGTCAAGGTTATAAATGTTTATAAATAACAATAATGTGTAATGATTGACAGTAATGAAGTAGTAATTTTTATTAATTATATTAATTAATTATATTAATTTAAAGTTAATGTAACGAGAAAAGAAGGGGAAAAAATGAAAAATGTTAAATTATACATAGGAGTATATCTTAGTATATAACCATATCAATCTAACTTACTTCGTTGTGGACTGTCTTGTTATTTTTTTACCCAAGGTGTCTATAGTTATATAATCAATTTGAATGAATTGAAAATTCATTTTACCGGTGAATTTTTATAATATATACGTCAGTTTTATAATATATGCGTCAGAATTAAGGTTGCGCCAAAGTATATTTATTTTTTTTCCCAAAGAAATACTTTCTGTGACTCTCAAATACTTAGAGTAACTTTTTTCCCGCCATTACATGTACTGCAGACCTGGTAATATCGATTAACATTGACAACCTTCTCAAACATTTTAATAAACATTAATTTAAACCATATTTTATTTGAAAATGGCAAGCAGAAAATACAGGCACGTAGTACAGAAAATCAAAAAGGATTCGGAAACAAGTTTTAAAAACTTTTACTAATCTGTGTCCTTATTATTTATGATTAAGATAACAGACCCTTATTAGATAGTCACAAAACACGGTTTTAATTAAGCTGCTCTAAAAATATTTGAAATTTACACACATGTTAAATTAAAAATCAAGTCGATTCACTCAAATGAATGACGTTCTAATTATACAGAAGAAATCTAATGGATTTGTATCAGTATGTTGTGTCAGTATGTATGAGAGAGAGAGAGAGAGAGAGAGAGAGAGAGAGAGAGAAACTGCTGAATATGGTTGACTTTACAGAAGAAGAAAAAAAGTTTCAATCTCGCCACTATTACAGTTTAGGCTGCTGACAATATTTCGGGAAAATAAATGACTTTTTAGTGAGCTACAAGCAAGTCGTAGTCTTGTGTGTAATATCTGTTCCTTACGTTTACCAGTGTAATAATATTGAGGGGGTTTACTATTTGCATTGTTGACATTTAAATAGCGTTTTAATTCTTTGTTTGATAGAATCAGGTAATTCGTTCCAAAGCTTTGATGGTTGATGGGAAGTAACTATAGTGATCAGTTCTACATTTGACTTGCTTTATGTTACACTTTTGTCTAGTGGAATGATTGTGTATATCTTGATTTTGCGGTGGAACTAGATCCGAAAGGTATTGAGGAGTTTGGCCGTACACCATTTTGTGAAACTGTATAATTTTATACCTTCTGTCTTTTAAAGATTCTTCTGTCTTTTAAAGGTTTAAACATTCGCATCCACTGTGCTTTTTCTCCTTTACTCCGTTAGAAAAGCGTGTAGTAGATATTGATATGTTATTGTTCTTATTTCCCGTCTTAGACGGGATGCAAAATTTTTCAATTTTTCGGGTAGCATAAGTGTTTCAAAATAATAGTTTTTGACCCGGTCTGTCTGTCAATCTATCACTTGTCCACAGTTTTGCATGTCATTCATTAACTTAATACGAATTATAAGTTTTAGATTTAAAAAACAAAATTATTGTGCAATTTGTGGGATTTTTTTTGTAAAACAAATTTTTTTAAAAAGAAAATTTAGTTTTTAAATATTCTTGTAAGTTTTAAATTGCACTATATTATCAACTAATTATGATATATTAATTAAAATTATCTTATATACCTTTTAAAGGGGAATAACCTATACAATGCACTTCGCAAGCGCACAGAGAGAGAGAGAGAGAGAGAGAGCTTTTATAATCTATATCCAAACTGCAGTTTTCTTCATGAAATCGAAATTTATTTAGTTTTAAAAAAAATGATGTAGATTATATACAATATCTAAACACTCTTATAGAGATATCCCCTTTGTATATATTTAAAAAAAAAACCAATAAGATACCCCCCCCCCCCCATTTTCCTGATTGATCTCAAATATTCAAAGTGTTCAAAAATAGTAATAAGTAATCACTTTATTTCTAGAAATGAGAGAAAATCATATCATTACACAGTCGAGATAGTACCAGTGCACTTATTTTCCAAGTTATACATGTCATGACGATTGATATTTATTCCCGTTAGTCGGGATCTAAAATTTATAATTTTAGCGGGTGGTATTAGTCCTATTAGGAACATAATACTGGAATCACCCATGTCCGTCTGTAAACAGTGTAAGGTCAACTTTTAATATATAATTTTTCAGCTTTATACTGATAATAAATTGTATATAAATATTAAGCCAATACTTATTACTATTAAATGAAATATCCCCCAACTTTTAAACATTTTTAAAACAAATAAAAACAAAGCAATTAATTGAATTAAATATATAAAATAAAATACAATATTTTTTCACTGATATCAAATTTTTGTTGTTTAAAAATTAACCCAAGGGAAGAAACTATGTAAAGTTTTCTTTTTTTACATAAGTAACAAATACTAAATAGAGGATTATACAGAAAAAAATCAATTGTAGTGCAATCTGTCTTAAAACCAACATTTAACTGTAGGGTAAGATTTTAGATTTAGGCCTTAATTAATCTTGTTTGTTCAGACAGAAACATTAAATGGCGTTAGGGTAAAGCGGTGTAACTTCGACCGCCGTTTAATATCGACCATCGGAACACAATGATTTGCGATCTTCTATATTCCATACTTAAACTGCAGTTTTCTTTATGGAATCTAAATTTATTCCTTTTTTAATAATGATAGATCATATACAATATCTATACGCTCTCAAAGAGATATAACCTTTTTATATATTCAAAGAAAAAAAAAATAATAATAAATAAATTAAATTATATCTTCTTCCCATATTTTCCTTGTGATCTCAAATTGAGTGTTAAAATTTCCTTGCTGATCTCAAACTGAAAGTGTTCAAAAATAGTTCTAAGTAAATACTATATTTTCACACATAAGAGAATTAACGATTCCATACACCCTGGGGATATTGCAGTAATTTTGTCAGTAATTCAAATCATCACCAACGAAAATATTTTTTCCCGTATATCGGGATCTAAAATTTTTATTAGAGCGGGTAGTATTACTCTTTTTAAGAACGTAATACTGTTTTAACCCTTGTGTGTCTGTAATCAACATACGATTAATTTTTCATATATATTTTTTCTGCTTTATACTACTAAAAAATTGTATATATATATTAAGCCAATACTTACTACTATTAAACAAAATATTCAACAATTTTTATATATTTTCTAAAACAAATACAAACAAAACAAATAATTGAATTAAATTTATAAAATCAATTGCAATATTTTTGCATTGATTTCAAATTTTTGTTGTTGAAATTTTACCCCAAGGGAAGAAACTATGTAAAGCTTTTTGAAATCTATGCATGTAAATATAATGTGTATTAATTCATAATTAACAAATACTAAATAGAGCGGATAGCTTAATTCCATCCCAATACAAAGAAATACATTTAAAATAGCCCTCTTTCTTTTCTAATATTCCAGTATGCTCCAGCTAGCTTGTAACAAACCTCTATTTTTCCCACCATGACAGGTACAGTACGTTTTAAACAGTCCATATTTCCTGGTGCCTTATTTTGATTCTTCAAATCCTCTCTCTTTGGTGGAGGTAGGAAGGGGCTTTTTCTTTACCCAGTTCAAAAGTATCTGCTTTCCTGTTTGAAGATACATCTTTATTTCTCCTTTATCTTGAATTCCAATTCCTTGTTGATTGGATGAATATAAGGTTTATGTACAAGATCGAGAAAAAAGAACTCTACCCCCACGAAAAGTTTTGTTTCGAAGCTGTACATTTTTACTAAGAATATACATTAAAAATTAAATTGTAGTGCAACCAGCGTTAAAAACCAACATTTCACAATTAAAAATATTGTAGTAAGGTTTCAGTTTTTATCTTGTGTGTTCAGATGGAAAACATTAAATGATATTAGGCCTTTTTTTGTTGTTGTTGTTGTTCGTTTGTTTTTAATGGCGCATAGAAGTTTGGTTCAGACTACCTCTAAAATAATCTATTTTACCACACAATGACCAAAATTCTTTTTTAATGCTTAATTTTAAATGCTTTTTTCATATCTTTATATACAAACACATACCAAACAATTTTCACCCACTCACCACACTTACACA